GCTTATGACCATTGTTCCTCATCATCCCAGGTGGTGCTGGTGAGAAAAGGGATCTACCTATTTGCTGTTGATCCCCCCTGGTGAGTGTAACCTGGGCGGTACACCAAAAGGTACCCCCCCTCCAATTGAAGGGATCAGAGCAGGTGCACAAGTGCTGTGGGAGGTGTAGGGATTCTCCTCCCCCTATAGAGCAGAGCCAGACCACCACTGGGGACTTAACCATATACCTTTTAATGAGGGAACATAACAGGCATAATCAGGGGGGTATAGTAGACACCACACTGCCCCAAGGGACAGGATTCAACAAAGGTTAGACACTTACAATCATTGGCAAAAGACAGGGTTCACAAAATATAAAACAGAAAACACAAACAACAGAGCAAACAGTACTGGTTGGGGAAATATAAAAAGGCACAAAATGCAAAATGTCAAAGGACAAAGAAATATAGGGCCTGGGTCACTGGAGGGGGAGAAAACACAATGGCCCCTGTCTACTGCAAGAGGAATTTTTTTCTTGTTAGCTCACTTATCCCAAGTCACCAAAGCTAGAACTGGTACTAAGATCTCCCACGTGGTAGGCAAGAACGCTGCCACACAGCCTCCATCTTGTTATGTTTAGAAGAAGACATTATGTCATTTGTACTTTAATCCATTGATTTATTTGAGGGCTAAACCACTCCTTTCATGGTGGGAAGGTGTTTTACGTTGGGAAGGAAAAGTTTTAAGGGTTTATGGGAAGGGTGTTTGGGATTGCTATAGGGGAAGTTGAAATTGTGAAATAGTGGAGGGAGGAGTGGACTGTAAGTGTGCCTGAATGAAATCAAACAACCTGTAAGTAACCACATCTCTTTTCACAATGAAAACCTTGTTTGTACTTGTTTGTACTGCTGCTACCCCCATGTGTGTTTTCCTTTTTATGCCATGACTGAGAGTAGTGACTGTGTCTTCCTGTGTATTTGGAACACAATTATGGTATTACAGCAACATATATAATAATAGTAACTAAAGACAGTCTAAATGATATATGGCTAGTTTTTTTCCTATGTATTATCGATCGAGTAAATGTTAAAAAAGATAGCAACCACTGTATTGGAAAAGGTGGACGCAAAACTTGTATAAGGGAGCAGACCCCGAGCAGGGAGGTGGCACAAGTGGGTGCGTTGCATGGGAGCAGGGATCCCTGCAGGTCTCGGGAGAGGTGAGAGGCTCCAACTGGTCTGAACTGCTGGGCGGGCTGCATCCTCGGGCCAGGTGGGGCAGGTCATTATTGTCCCTCCAGTTCCTGCCACGGTGCTTATGTCACTGGGTCCCTCCGGTGCTTGGAATGGTTATTAGTTGTATGGTTCTTTCAGTATCTCATTTCCATCAGCCCTTGCCTTCCACAGGCTGGAGAAGGCTCCAGGCCTTGAACTGGGAGACAATTTGCTAGGGCAGAGCTGCGATGTGTCCCGCAGCAGAGAGTAGGACACACACAGAGCCCAGCCCCAGCTTTGCCCATGGCCCCAGGGGAAGGGTCTCTGCCCTGACCCTGCACACGAGGGGCAAAGGCCCTGGGAGGAGGTGAGCTGCTTTTGGTGCCCGAACATCGCAGGCTCCCACAGCTCCAGTCAGCTCACACCAGGCAGCTGACTCCCACCCCAGCTGGAAGTGGGCAGCAAGGCCTGGCTCAATCACAGCCTGCTCGGCAGGCCGGAGCTGGCCGGGCATGGGGTGGGCACTTCCAACCCCAGAGTCCCTCCAGACAAGGTGGAGGCTGCAGTAAAAAATACTCGTGTTTTCAGAGGGGGTATGAAGATGCTTTTTGAAACACGATGAAAATGCATAGGAAGCAGCAGCAGAGTGGCGCAGCACAAGCGTGCTGGGACCATAACCCAGAGGCCAATGGATTGAAACAAAAGTCCTTTTTCAAGTAGATTGGGAGCAGCAAGAGGGCACCAGGCAATGTATGGCCCCTACAAGATGCAAACGGTAATCTTGTGGCTATGCCAAGCAAGAAAGTGGATATTTTTAATAGTTTCTTTGCCTCTGTTTTCTTGAGCAGGGACCAGGATATCCCACCTACCAGAGGTAGGGACAATCTTGGGGATAGCTCTGTCAGGCCTTCAATCAGTGCAGCGGTAGTTAGGGATCTTCTGGAAGGGCTAGACATTTTTGAATCTGCAGGTCCAGATGCCCTCCACCCAAGGGTGTTGAAGGAGCTGGCAGGGGTCATCACGGAGCCGTTGGCCCGGCTCTATGATCATTCATGGTCATCTGGCCAGGTGCCGGGGGATTGGAAACTGGTTAATGTGGTCCCAATTTTCAAGGAAGGGAGGAAGGAGGACCAAGTAAATATAGGCCTGTAAGCCTCACCTCGGTGCTCGGGAAGATCTTGGAGAGAATCATCAAGGAGCACATCTATGGGGGCCAGCAGGGGAGATCATGCTCTGGGGCAATCGGCACGGGTTCATCAAAGGCAGGCCCTGCCTGACCAACCTGATTGTCTTTTATGACCTAGTAACTAAATCCCTGGATGATGATGTCACTGTGGACCTTGTCTTTCTAGACTTTAAGAAGGCCTTTGACACTGTCTCTCACTCCATCCTCATCAATAAATTAAGTGACAGTGGCATTGATGCCTACACAGTTGGATGGGTAAAAAATTGGCTGATGGGGCGGACCCAGAGAGTAGTGGTGGACGGGTTGTACTCAACCTGTCAAGATGGGAGCAGTGGAGTACCCCAGGACTCGGTCCTTGGGCTTGCACTGCATCTTCATCAGTGACTTGGACAAAGGGGTGTGGAAAGCATGCTGTCCAAATTTACTGATGACACTAAGATGTGGGGCGAGGTGGACACACTTGAAGGGAGAGAGAGGTTGCAACTAGATTTAGACAGACTACAAAAGTGGGCAGACGAGAATAGGATGGGGTTGCTGCCCACTCCTCCCACTGTGTCCGGTGTACCAGGGTGTTCACACCCCAGCATCAGTGTGCCAGGGGATAGGGAGGGAGGCCCCACGCAAGCTGCTCTGGCCCAGGCCACGGTGGAAAAAGTGGGACTTGGTTTGTGGCTGCGAAAACAGAAGTGCCACAGTGGGGCTTCCAGTTTTGCTTTTGCAAAAAAGCCCCCAAGAAGGGAGCTGCCTGGATCAGTCACAGCCTGCTCGGCAGGTCGGAGCTGGCCAGGCATGGGGTGGGCACTTCCAAAGCTTCACACAGCCCTAGTGCTCACCCCAGGTAGAAGCTGGGTTAGCAATGGAACCCAGCCCCATTGAAACTGAGTCCCTCAAGATAGCTCCGCTGGGGGGGAGGAGGACTTGCTGAAGGGAGATATACAGCGCCATAAAGAAACACCAGTACACAAGCAGTACATTGATAGAAATACAAAGACCCTTTAAATGTATCCCTAATAAATGAGAGCACCCCAAAGGGATATGCAAATTTGGTAACAAGGTGACCCTCACAAGTGGAGAGTCTGGCCACTCTCCCCTTCCCTCTCCCCTGGGCCTGGGTTGACCTGGTGCCTGGGAGGCAATTTGGCCATGCAGATGGCCAGCTGGTGGGGAAGCTGTGAGAGATGGAGCTCCCCTCCAACTCACCTGCCTCTCCCTCCTAAAGCCATCACCAGGGTTTGACTTGGTGTCCCAAAAGCCACCCCGTGTTTCAAAACAGGGTAGACATGGTGTCTGGGAGACCCCATAGCAAAAAATGTGGCAGACCTTTTCTCTGACAAGTGCCCATAGGAGTGCATGGGGTAGACATGATGTCTCAAATCCCTGTGGGAATTCATGGGGTACACCGGGTAATCCAGAGTCCCCATAGGCTTGCATGTGGTAACCATGGTGTCTAAAGGTCCCCAAAGGAATGCATGGGGTACACCTGGTGCATTAACTCTCCAAAGAATTGCATGTGGTAGACCGGGTGTCCCAAAGTCCCCTTAAGTTTGCAAGGGGTTGACCTGCTGTCTCAAAGTCCACATAGGAATGCATGGGGTTGACCTGGTGCCAGGAATTACAGCATCCCGCAATTTAACCACCAATCCAGTACCCAGGGTGCACTCTGGCACCAATGCAAACACCACCTGTACAACCACCAGGGGCTTAATCCTCCAAAAAATGCCCCCACCTAGACTTCAACCTTT